ACCTTCTGTTTCAGCATTGTCATGATGATTGAAGTTCTTCAGGCAGTTTTAAAAAAAACCAAAAAATATAAATAAAGTCAATTGAAACAAATAAGATCTAGGACAACAAAGAACACATCATAAAGTGCATTGCAGAATGTGAATTTAAAAATAGTGCCTATTGCAGCTTTTTCCCTTTTATGCTTTGACTTTTATCTCACATAAGTTTGAAATAATTCCTAGTTTTCTTGGAAAAAAATTCCATGTTTTTCTATTTATCCTGCATATATTCATGACCTTAAGAGCTTCTTCCCTGTTTTCACTGAGCTACAATATTAAACTTCAGAAGCTCACATATTGGGGTTTAAAATGGTTTCATTCACAATATTTTCATTCATTTTTTCCATTCAGTTTTTTGAGTTGATGAGATGTCTTTTCTCAGGCATCTGAAATAATCCTTGTTACAGTAGTATTTGTTATTCTAAAAACTGTTTTCAGAGCATAATTGCTTGTCATTGACAAATACCTTACGCCATTGGTGTGCTTCTCTTTAGATATGATGTAGTCTTAAAGTAACCTCTCCCATTTTTCATATAGTTTGAGTTACAATTTTTTGCTCTAAATTTAAAAAAAAATATATTTTCATACTGACAGCACTGATAACTGCATGCTCTGTTATACAGGCTGCCTCCCTCAGTTAGAACAGCTTTTCTCATTTCCATGATGCAGACACACACTGGCAGAGCCACTTGCCCAGGTCAGTTGGCAACCTCATCAATTGGCTGGCTTGCTTATTTCACATTCCCAGTGCATCCTGGGGACCCTTCCTTCCAAAGTATTATTGTTTTAATTATTTTCTTGAAAATCTGAGTCTTGTTTCTGGGTTTGATTTTTTTAGCCCTCTATGCTGTTTTCAGTACAGTGTTGCCATTATTTCATATTACAGGCAGTTGACATTTTTTCTCTTTGAGACACCCTCTTTCAAATCCAATTTCTTAATTATTTCATGGGAAAGGAACATGATGTCTGGCCTTTGTTTTATCACTTATATTTTGGGGGGGGGGGGGGGGCGGGAAACAAAGACATGGTAACAGAAAGGACTCCTTTAGGGAACAAGTCCAGGCAAACAAATGAGAGATGTATACTAGATTTTCATACTAGAGAGACGTCTACTAGATTTTCTACTAAATTTTCATACTAAAAAAGTATGTCCTGGCCATACCCCCTCATGACTTCTTGTGTACCTTCTTGCTGGCAGAGCATGATAAACTGCAAAGTCCTGGATGTAGGGTAAGCACTACAGAGCAATGACTGAAATACCAGTGTGTCATCCACATTATTCTCATACTAGGAGCAAAACAGCACTGTACTAGCTAAGATGAAGATTAACTATCCCAGCCAAAACTAGGCTATCACACTTTCTATTCATATATGCTTAGTATGGAGTAACTGGTCATTCCAAGGGGAGTGACTGAATATAAATTGGTTCAATCCAGCTTATTTGGAAATAATTAATACAAAAAGGATGTGTTATGCAGTTTTAGCCTTGTCATATTCTCTACATTTCCTTTACAGTCTCAGAGGCCATCTATGTCTATTAAGAACAATGTAACCACTGTTGAATTCACTCTTCATTTTTAACTAGGTCTGTAGCCTTCTACAGACTAGAGACATTGACAGTCATTTACCAAATACAGTTCAAGACAGCTTTAGTTATATGGTCACATATGCTTTTTGTAGGGGATTGTTGTTTCATGAACCACATTCTTTCCTCTACATTTCTAGAAATGCGGCTCTATTTACCAGACATGGGTAAAGTCTGAGTTTTTTAAGACTATGAAACTAATTTCTACCATGAGTGTTTCAAACTTACCTACACTTACCCCACATAAGAAAATTATGTTTTTGTTTAAACTGTGAACTGAAATGAAAGCAGTTTTAATAATCTTGGACAACTGACAGATACACTCTTCTATGGGTTTAGAGAGTGGTGGTGAATGGTGCCACATCCGCTTTGTGGCCAGTCACCTGTTGTGTCCCAGGAATCAGTGTTGGGCCCAGTTCTGTTTAGTATCTTTACTGATGATCTCACGCAGGGAACTGAGTCCATCAGCAAATTTGCAGATGACACGAGGCTGGGAGGGAGTGTTGATCTGCAGGAGGGTAGGAGAGCTCTGAAGGGACAGGCTGGGTAGATGGGCCAAATCCAAAGATAGGAGGTTTAACAAGTCCCAGTGTGAGCTCCTGCACTTTGGCCACCACAATCCCCTGGAGTGCTACAGGCTGGGGACAGACTGGCTGCCCAGTGCCCTGGCAGAAAGGGACAGTGCCAGACTGAGTGAGAGCCAGCAGTGTGCCCAGGTGGCCAAGAAGGCCAATGCCATCCTGGCCTGTATCAGGAACAGTGTGGCCAGCAGGAGCAGGGAACTCAATCTTCCCCTGCTCTCGGCACTGGTGTGACCGCACCTTGAGACTGTGCCCATTCCTGTGCGCCTCAGTTTGGGAAGGACGCTGAGGTGCTGGAGTGTGTCCTGGGAAGGGCAGCAGAGCTGGTGAAGGCTCTGGAGCACAAGTCCTGAGGAGCAGCTGAGGGAGTGGAGGTCTTTGGCCTGGAGAAATGGAGGCTCAGGGGAGACCTTGTCACAACTGCCTGAAAAGTGGGTGTAGCAGATGGGGCTGTCTCTTGTCCCAGGCAACAGGAACAGGACAAAACAACACAGTCCTAAGCCTGCACCGGGCGGTTTAGGCTGGACATTAGGAACAATTTCTTCACAGAAGAAGTGATGGGGCATTGGAATGGTCTGCACAGGGAGGTGGTGAAGTCACCATCCCTGCAGTGCCATTGTCTAGTTAAATAAGTGGTGTTAGGTCACAGGCTGAACTTTGTATTTCTAAAAAGTGAGCTCAAGAACCTTACCAGACATGCATAGAATCAGAGACTCATAACATGGTTTGGGCTGGAAGGAACTTTAATGATGATTTTGTTTCAACCCTTCTGCCATTGGCAGGGAACCTTGCACTAGTCCAGGCTGCTCAAAGCCTTATCTGCACTATCCAACCTGGCATTTAACAGGCATGCAGATGTTTTTGCTAGTATTAGCCTATTACTGGTATTATTGTAGCTCACAGAAGTCTGTGAAGGTATCAGAACTTCACAGTTCTACATGCAAACAGAAGATAAAAGCCCAGCTTCCCGCAAAAGGCTATTAATTACACACTACCTCTGATTCCTTTTCACTCTGGTATTTGGAGTTTCAGAGTCAGTCTTACAAATCTTCAAAACATGCCCTTTCAAACTGTTACCTCTTTGTAGAGCTCTGAAGTTTTGAAGAGCTTCAAATCTGTGGTCAACATCTCTTTGTAAGTCAAGCATCTCCAAACCCACAACATCCTCTGACTTGATTCAATAAAGATGCCCGCCTTAAATCCTTCCCTGGACCTGTAATTACAAAAGGCTGTATCAAGATGAGAGACACAGCACATTTTTAGCTATACCACTTAACAATAACTATCCCTGAAACTTGATCTAGACTTCTATATTCTACTGGTTTTAGTTATTGTTTGGGATGTGGGCTTTTTTTTCTGGGTACTGCAAGAGATGGAGAATGATAGTGAACCAGATTAAAACCCTGATAAAAAACGTCACCTACTTTTAATGTGAGTCAGTACTAACCTAATTCACTTTGCCACTTAGCAGTACTTGCTATTCCATCTCTGCAAAGAGAGATGGAATGAACTTCAAATGGGAGGACAAGATTGCCTACATCAATAGTATCCCTAATGTCCCACCAAAAGACCTACATCTAAGTGCAACTTTTTTCTAACATGGGAAATACAGGGAAAATAGTCTCAATATGAGAGGCTCAAACATAATTCCTAAAATGTCAGCAGACTACTTCTCCAAGAGATTATATTATCTTCTACACCAAAGAAGAAAAGTATTTCACTTGCTCCTTCCTTAGGTATTGCAGAAAACAAAAAATATATTGCTCAGGGAGGTTGTAGGTGTCCCATCCTTGGAAACATTCAAGGTCAGGCTGGACAGGCATCTGAGTAACCTCATCTGTTTGAAGATGTCCCTGCTTATTGCTGAGGGGCTTGGACTAGATGGCCTTTAAAGGCTCCTTCCTGCCCAAACTATTGCACTGACAGCAAAAATACAAGGTTGCTGCTTTGGGTCATTACAGAGAGAGCAGCTGTGAGTGAACGATTAAAAATGTTTCTTCCACGTAGACCTACCTGTCCATGGCTCTAGTTTGCTGAATTTTACTGTCAGTCATGATTGGGGTATAAGAGGGGATGAATCATTTCCTCTGCACATGTGGCATGTGGCAGTTTTACATGTCCTTGGGACAGGAACGCCTCACAACCATCCTGTGCAGGCAGAACCATGAGACCATTGGCGTGGTGCGGGTTGTCAGCAGTCGTCTGAGCAACTCCGGAGAGCTTTTCAAGGAAGGAACACACTGTGTCCTTGAAACCAAGCCCAGGTGCTTCTCACTGTAAGTACAAATGTCTTGGGACTGCTTATGGTCATCAGTGTTTTACTGTAGGCCAATGCGACACACTCCTCATGTATTTCTAAAGAGGCCTGAAATATCTAACACGAAAAACTTTATCGTCTTTTCTTTTTTACAAACTCCTAAGCGATCAAAATGGAAAGCTGGGAGTGGACACATGACATTCCCAGTGTGATCTACCAGCACACGAGCAACAGCCCGGTATCTAGATGCCGATACCCGCCTGTTCGCTCTCAGCGCAGCCCCGTCCCTCCCTCCATGACTTTATCGCAACACAGCCGCTCAACGGCCGCTCTCGTTCGTCCGTCCGTCCGTCCGTCCGTCCGTCCGTGACTTTATCGCGACACAGCCGCTCAAGGGCCGCTCCCAGGGCAGCCCCGCCCGCCTGCCGCCTCTCGCGCTCCACTTCCGGGTTCCCCGCCGCGCGCCCGGGCGCTGACGTCACCACGCGCGGACCCCGGAAGTGGAGCCAGCAGGGGGCGGGCGGAGCCGCGCGCGGCACTGGGCCCAGAGCGGCCGCGCGCTCCCCGTGACGGCGCCGCGCGCGCCCCGCTCCGCCGGCGGCAGCGCCAGGTACGTGCGGCGGCCCGGCCCGGCCCGGCTCGGCCCGGCCCTGCAGCGCCGCCCGCCAGGGGCGCGGGGCAGCGGCGGCCGCGGGCCCTCGGGCAGCAGGGGCACGGCCGGCCCCCACGGCGGGCCAGTCGGGGTGGCGGCGCCCAGGAGCCTCTCCAGCCCTGCCCCGGGATGAAGACCGCAGGCCCGCGGGCGTCCCGTGTGCTTGGCGTCAGGCCCGGAGCGGCGGCGGGAGGGGACGGGGCGGCGGCGGCTGCCTCCGAGCCGCCCGCGCTGCCCACGTGTGAGCTGCCGGAACGGGTGTAGAAGTACCCGTGTGCCCATGTCACCGGGGCTGCGGGGAATGGCCACGGTGTCACTGCCCGGGACTGGCCCCCAGGCGATGCCGAGCGCTGCGCTGTGCCTGCTGCCGCTCCACATTTGACAGTTATAATTTCAGTTTTCTACATAAAATCGAAGGGGTTTGTTTTTCGGAATGTATCCTTACAGTCATTGCGGCAGGTTTTGGTGCTGTCAGCTGCTTTTGCCAAACGAGACTTGCCAGTTTTCCCCGCTGCCTAATGCAAGCTTTCTGTGTAGCCATAAATGATAAAAAGTCATTTGAGCGTGATTCTTGACTTTATGCTATAGCTGGGTTTGAGTGATGGTTTTCATTCCAGGTACTGCTCTTCTAATTGGGTAGGATTGAACACTTCTTTTTAGACTTAAGTTTCTTGTAGTTGTTCTGGCGGTTTAGAAAGCTGCACGAAATACTTGCCATTTCTGACTTACCCAAATGTAGAGAATAATTTTTCAGTTTAAATTGTTACTTTTACTTGGTTTTGGTTTGGTAGGGAGAAAACTCAAAATTTGTAATTGTAAAGCAAGAGAGAATGGGCATGTATAGTCCCTTTCCAAAACCCACTCTCTTTGCTTTTTGAGGAACTGTTGCCTTTGTTTTTGTTTCAAGGATAAATATTGAAACTTTTGAGAGAGATTGAACTGGTTTTCTTCCAGGTACCTAACTTTTTATGCTGGTTTTGCATAAGCCAAGCTGCTCAGAACCACATAAGCCAGCTTGTCACAAAATGCGTCTTCTACTTTACAGTTCTTTTGCATGAAGTTTTTTTTGGCTAAAGTAATAAGTTTGCATGAGCAGGTAACAGACCTTCTTCGGGACATACCATCATTGGCAAAAAAAGTGTTGTAAAATTAATAACAATTACAAAGCTAACTGGATACATTTGATATTAATGCAGCACTGATTTGGTGACACTGAGGAGTGGGGTGTTAACAGTATTTACCTTTAAAGGAGAATAAATACCCATAATGCAGCAGAAAGGTAGTGTCCTTTTACTAACCCTTAGTATTTTCTTGGCATCTTTAAGGAGGCAGAGGGTGAAAGAAGTGGCGTGGTGTTCTGTTACAAACAGTAAAGCAGTCTTATGATAGCATCTTGGTTAAAGAATGCCCACAGGTTTTTAAAAATAGGTATTTTGTAACTACATGGGAAAAAGTGAAAAAACTCTTGTGTAGAGGAAACTAAAACTTTAACAACTGAGGATAGTGGCTTGGGGTGTGTCACAGAGTGCAGTCAATGTGAAAATGCAGAAAGAATGTCTTTATATGCTTATTTGGGTTTAGAATTGATTAAATCTGCTGTTCTGAGTGTTTTAGATATTATTTCATTTTCTTTAAAAAGAGGAAAAAAAAAGATTATTTGCTGACCAGAGTATTGGTCTTCGCAGGGTAGCTCCAGCTAGAAGCCCCGGGTGACGACGGCTGTTGCTGAAGTCACTGCCAGTGCTTGCTGCCTGCCTGTCAGCTGGAGCTCTGCTGTGCCTCCTCCGCTGCTGTCAGTCTAGGCACTGCCCAGCCCACCTCTGTCAGAACATGGTGGGTTAAGACGGATGTAATATTTATTGTGTCTAAGCTGACCTCTTTTTGTCTGCAGTAGGTTAGCAGATGTGGGCAGGCATAGGAATAAGATTAAAACTTGCAGCAGGCCAACAGTACTGAGCAGGTGGAGGCAGAGAAGGGCATCATCATTTCAGACGCACAGTGCACACTCAGACTGCTCTCTTAGTGAAGTACCTTTAATTATTAGAATTTTCTCACCAGTGCCTGGATTTTGTCTGTCTTCTTGAGATTACCTTTTCAGTGACTGTAGCCAGCAGTTATGACTATATTTAAATCAGCAAGTTGATTTGACCATGGTCTTTACTGAATTCCTTTTATGTACTAGTTAGCAAATGTTTGGGAGAGCTTCTCCTTATAATTACTCAGTGGGGATTTATCTTTTAGAATCTCTTCTTTTAAGTTCACAACCCTATTTTTTTTTTTCCGTGAAGACTCAGCACTGACTCTGGAGGTTTTGCCCATTCCAGGCTCTATAGAAAAAGTCCTGAATACAACTCTATTGCTGGTACTTTGAATCTGACCCACTGTTCCTTTGGGGAACAATGTGCTGTTGTGACTGAGGAGTTTTTTAGATTTACAATAGATTACTGGAATTCTTTGAAGTAAAGCATACATACAAAGAATGAATAGATATCTTTTAAATTTTTTTTTCTGCAAGCTTACTGAAACAAACAATGGACATGAAAACATCCTCTTATGAAATTTAATACTGCTCTGTGAATTTGTTTGGTGCTTTAGAAGGACTTTTTTTCTCTTCACAGGTATCATTGTACATATATCTATTTAGCTTGCAGATGAGTTTCACAGATTTGTACTGAGTGGAATTCCCAGAATACAATTTAATAGGCTTAAATTTGTTATTTTTCATGGTTATTTTCCAGCATTTTATTCGCTGTGTGGACAGAGAGCTTAATATTTAAGTACTCACAGCATTCCTTACACTGTTTTTGTAATGCGACTGAGTTTTATTAGGAAGTGAAAAGATGTGCTTTTATATCATCCTTACCTTTCTGCTTAGCTAATTTTCAGTTACTTATTAGTACACTGGTTTTGGTAATGATTTTTGTTCTATGCCTGAGTGTTTCTATGAATCAGAGTGGGACCAAAAGTTATTTACCTCCAGCTAAAGACCCATTCTGTTAAAAAAAGTGCCCAGGGTGCAGTTTCATAGCCTGTTCACATTAGATCCCTGTTACTGGAATGGGGAGCACTCCTCTCTGCTTCCTGCCTCATCTCTCCAAGCCAAGCAGAAGATCAGCTGGCTGCACAGTGAGCCAGGTAAAGAACCAGATCCAGCTGATACAAAACTAGAGGTAGAAAATGCTTCTCATTGCTTTAGCTTGCTCACTGACATGAATGCCGTTACAAGTAGTTGTGATAGGACACAGGGCAGCGGCTTTAAACTGAAAGGAGGCGAGGCAAGTTTAGATTAGCTACTAGGAAGAAATTTTTTACAGCAAGCATGCTGAGACATTAGAGCAGGTTGTCCAGAGAGGCTGTGGCTGCCCCATGCTATGATGTGGAAGGCCAGACAAATGTTTTGGGCAAACTAGGCTTGTGAAAGGTGATGCTGCCCATGGCAGGTCATTGAACTAGATAAACTACAAAGTGTCTCAAAACCCAGATGCTTTTATGAGTCTGTAAGAAATTATGTAGGACTGGAGTGGAGAATTTAGAACTAGGAGGAGGGCTGAAAGTGTATCGTACAGACTACAGCAGATCATGGAGTTGCATCCTGAGTCACCTTGTACTTTTAGTGTGGTGAAAGCTTCTCAACCACTTTTCTGAGCAATCTTTCTAGTGACTTAATTAGTAGTGGTACTGCTGGTGAGGCTGGTCGCCTGCTCTGTGGTCTAGTCAAGTCTTCACTGCTTTTAATCCTGTTACACTCTTCTGAAGAGTATTGACCTCCATCTGCATGGAACATTTCTGGTGCTGTAGTTTGTATTCTGTTGAGTGCGTATCTAAAGAGGAAAGATAAACCATGTTAGACTTTATCGGACAAATTTTAGGTGTTTCTGCTGTTGTGGTTTCTGTATTCTTCCAGGTTCTGTTGGCCAGCAGAAATTCCAGAGACCAATCTGTGCAAATCTTGCTATATAGACATTGGGCTGTTATAGGTATTGGTTTTAAATACATTGGTGAAATAAGTACTGTCTTAGCAAAAGCACTATTAGCTGAATCAATATATTTGGTATGGTTGTTCATTTAAGAAACTCTTCTGTCAGCAAGCAGTTTATTCTGTGTTGTGGTTTAACCCCAGTTGACTAAGTACCATACTGCCTGTTAGTTACTCCCTTCCCTTTTCCCTCTGCCCCAGTGGAATGGGGAGTGAATTGAGAAAACAAGGTAAAACCTGTGCATTGAGATAAAAGCAGTATAATAACTGAAAGAAAATAAATACTACAAAGTATAATAATTGTAAGGAAGAGGAGAGAGAAAGGGAAAACTTGAGTCTGACAAGCAATGTGCAGTAGTTGCTTACCACCTGCTGACTAATACCTAGCCCATCCCTGATGAGCCACCATCCCCCCTTCAGGGTAGATTTCCCAGTTTATTTACTGGACATGATGTTCTGTGGTGTGGAATGTCACTTTGGCAAGTTCACATCGCCTGTCCTGGCTGTGCTGCCTCTTAGCTTTTTGTGCAGCTACTCACTAGCAGGGCATGAGATGCAGAAAACTCTGGACTTGGGGTAGCGCTACTTAACAACAGCTGAACCATCCACCAACATTATTCTCATCCCAAATCCAAAAGGCAGCTACACTAACCCAGCCAAAACCAGGACACTCAGGCAGGCAGATGAAAGAATTTTCTATATTGCATGTCTAGAAAAAGAGATGATGATTCAAATAAGAATTAGCTGTATATGTTGTCAATTGTACTGCAAATTTAGCCAGTTTCAGGGTTGAGTGGAAGTGGGTCCCATGCCTGAAGCACCAGTAATGTTAGTGCTTATGTTTTTTGAGGCTTGTGCATTTAAAGTCAGGCCCATCATACTATATTTTCCCAGTTTCTGCTTTTTTTAGTGTTGGTAATTATTGTTGGTAGTAAGGAATTTTACTATAAACTTCAGGTCAAAGTTTAGGCTAATTTTCTTTTTCTTTTAAGATGGATGTGATGAAAATGTTTTGATTGTATTGAAAGTATTCTTGATTACTCTTAAGTATCCCTAAGCAACTCCAAGATGTAGGTAAAAAGTATGAAATTTAATAGGGAGATAGCTTTGGAAATGGTGAATTATTTCCCAAGATAGCTAGTCTGGCTTTGTCTGAATTACAAGCTCCATAAAGTTGCCATTTTCCATTTGCAGTATATCTTTTAAGGTACTTAATTTGAATTCTCTGGACATTTCAGCAGCAATATACATATTCTGCTGACCCGTAGAGCTTTCTTCACTGTATCTGGTCTATAGTGAAAGCTGCTGGTGGGACATGGCAAAAAGTGGGCTCTCTGGTTTCTTGTCATCCCTTGACTGAGGTATATTTTCTCTTAGGAGTGGGCATAGTGGACCCCCTCATTGTTCTGTTTTAGGTGTATGAAGAAAGGTGGATGATTGTACTTCGGAGCTGTTTTATACTTCTGTGTTTTGGTTTTTGGAGTAATAATGGCTTGTTTGAGAATATGGACAAAGTAATTCTGGTTGCTCACATTATTAGAGTGCCAGGTACTCTCCAGCTTGTCTTCAATGGTGTGTTGAAGACCAAACCGTACAAATAATGTAGTGCTTATAGTTTCTTTTGAAGTTCTGCAGGCCAGGCTATATAAAGCCTTGAAATGTGCATTTGGGTGGCTGTTGTGTTTTGGCATACAATACATGCAAATCTATGTCTCCTTGTTTAACTTAAGAAGATGGTAAACTAGCTTTGCATCCTTCCTTCTTTTTTTATGCACAATGTGTAGCAAATCTTGAAAACAACTTGCTTTTTTTCCTAACAAATGGGCATCGCATTCCTCTTCAGAACGTGTGTTACAGACGCACCTCAAGGGGGAAAATGTTAAGTGGGCTAGATTTGAATAAATACAGGCACCACAGTCAAAAGGAAAGTATTTCAAAGAAGAAATGGGTTTACAGGAAGCCTTGGCAGTGAAAGAGCCATTATATAAAATCATTATTAAAACTTGGTGAAATGAGAGAAAAATAGATGTGTTCAGGCACACAGTCTGTGTTTCTTGAATAATTATCATTGTACTGACACAGTATCTCCCCACTGAAGCATATGATTCAGTCTTGTGAAATAAAGTCTGATTGAAAAGAGACTTCTGTATCTGTACGTTATCTCCCATGCTGCGGAGCCTGTCTGCAAGGCTAAGGGGAAGATCTCAGAACAAGCATAGCCATCAAAATCAAAACTACTATAAATGCAAACTTGCTCTTGATACGTGCTAATCAATAAGTAAAAAATTGGTGGAGGTTTCCTTGTACTTAATTTTAAATGTTTGCATTTTGGAATAGCGGAGTTTGAATTTTGGAAGCATAAACTTCCTACCATAGTGATCACTGCTTGAGTCCTTCTTTTGCGCTCTCTATATTTCTTTCTTGGCATGTTGGCAAATCAGGCTAAAAAGTTTTTAGGCAGCAGCTGTATCCCAGTTCTGTCACCTCAGTTGCACTGGGTGAAAATTGATAAATTAAAAGCGTCCTCTTAAAAAAAAAAAAAAAGAGGAGGGGGAGGGAAAAGCAAGAAAGGATGGTAGTTTTAACTCAGATCAAGCCCCTGTTTTGGTTTAACTCAGATATGATTCCCTGAACTGGTTCTCTGCGCATTGCTACAAACAGTTCTGTCAGCTGAGGGGACAGCATAGGTAGGGGGTGGGACTGCTAAAGTCATTTTGCAAAGATGTGTTTGTGAATATATCTTTTGATTCTAAGACCTGGGGGCAGGAAGGGTCTTTGTTCTGTATTTGCTCTCTGTGAAACAGTGGGGTACTTGTCATCTGCCTGGATGAAGTTGAACATAGCATTCCCTTGGCTTGGATTTAACATGTCTCAGTATAAGAAATTGTCCTCAATTTTTAGAAACTTTGAGCATGTTCTGATAATAGCAGCATGAAGACTCCAGGTTATTTCACTCTGTGTTATGTCCACTGTGATAATGAAACTTTTATTTCCATCAAGAAGCAATATGTGCTTAACCACCTTGCTGTGTGAGCTTTCGTATCTGTAGCAAACCCCAGCTAGTATCCTGACTTGTACTTTCTTTATTAAGACATGATTTTTTATTGTCGGTGACTCAGAAACAGACAGTGACATTTTTGGCACACAGTACCATTTGTTCTCTGTTGTTGCTCTTTCTAAATAGGTTATATCTCTTGAATTGTAGCATTACATTCATGTGAATCATCCTATCAACTTCAGTAACATCAAATAGGTTGCATGTATGTTCCTGCAGGAGAGCTCTAAGTTCTTGTTCATTATCTTTCAAAATAATTCTCTGGGCAATTAAAGATTTTTAAAAAATTTTTGTCTTTTCATTCTTTGTTCTGTTAGTCCTATTATCCTTGTCTTTCTTTCTGGTGAATATTTAAGTAGTCATGAAAATTAGGGTAACTCCCTAAGGAATAATTGTGAGAGGACTACACCAAAAAACCCAGAAGCTTGAATTTTTGTCTATTTCAGGTAGTTGGTTGAAGCAGGAATGAAGGAATAGAAATATACAGAGATGGAAAGTCCAAATCTGTAATGATGTCAACTCCTACCTGCATTTTCTTGAGATGAAAAATAAAACTGTTACCTGGTTTATTTCAGACACTGAATTTTTCAAAGCTAGTAGTGTGTTCATTTTGAGAAGCTCTGATTTCGCCTTCCCAGTGATGTCCAGAGGCAACCTTTTCAAGAACATTGTTTTAAAAATTCCAGAGAATCGCGGTCTTTAGAGATTGCTACTAACAGAGATATAAGAAATCTTTATTTCTGTGAGAATATTTAACTATTTAGCTTTCAAAAAAAGGAGCATGGTGTAGATAGCATAGTATTTTTTCTTTGGTTGGTTCTAAATTGCATTTATCTTTCACAGTGTAGGACAGCAGATAAATAGCTTTAAATGTTTTACTTTATGGAAAATGGTGGTAGATACACCTCCCCCCAAAAAATGTATTGTGAGGGTAGTCAAACATGGGAGTGGGCCCCAGAGAAGTTTTGGAATCACTGTTGTTGCACATCTTCAAAACTTGACAAGTGCCTAAGCAGCACATTCTGGTAACACTTTTCAGCTGACCTCCAAAGGTATGTATAGATGTATGCAAGTTATACCTTACCATGTACATGGTGCTGTGTTTCGGATTAGGAAGGTGGTTGGTACAGTCTACTTTTGCACCAGGTGTCAAACTCAGTATTGGTGTGTAAGAATCTCCAGCAATTGTACCTGTAGAAGACACGCTGTGCTGTCCTTGTTTGGGCATGCCTGCCAGCACCACAGAACAACTGACTGTGCTTGTTCTGCCACAGGGCTGTGGTGAGGATGGGCGCTGCCAGTGGACAACAGCGAGTGTGGTCTGAGGAAAGCTCTTAATTGGCGATGTCATTTCTGTACTCATTCTGTAATGGCAGGATGAATGAAACCAGGGGACTGGAGTAGTGTGGACAAAGGGAGCTTGGGAACAAGGAGTTGAGTTGGCAGTGTCTCTTGATATGAAAAGACAAATGAGAACTTGGGAAGGGAACAGAATGGCACTAGAAGCTCTCAGGATAGAATGTGAGTCCAAATAAGACAGTGAGCTTGTGAGAGAAATAGGAGAGGAGGATTGAGAGATGCCTAACTCTGGAAAAGGAGGAACTGGGGCTGGGAGAAACATGAGGGTTCTACTTCAAACTCAAGAAGGTTAGACAAAATACTGAGTGGCTCCTTATTAAGTGAGTATCTTCATTCAGTGCATTGACAAAGGCAGAAGTGCAGTGGAAAAAATCATACGAGTATGCCTTCTGTATTGGGTTTGTGCAGTAGGGTTTTAGTTGCAGAGGTCTGCAGGTGTGAGAAGGTCTGCAGGCTTTTGTGAGAAGCTGCAAAAGCTTCCTAAATGTCCAGCAGACCCAGTGCTAGCCAACTCCAAGATGAACCTGCTGCTGGTCAAGGCTCTACCCCTGCAACCCATGGAGATTCACAGAGGGGCAGGATGGTGCCCAAAGGAGCTTCCCAAGACTGTATTGGAGAGAAACATAGATGACACTGCCTTAGAGAAGTGGTTGAGAATAGAGATCACTTCTTTCCTCTTTGTGTTTTCCACGTTATTTTTTGTATGAGATTGGACTTTTGGTGCACAAGTGCTGAACCTTTTTTGTGCAGGTGGTCCTGATTTTGGTATTCCCTGGTATATGTAGACTAAGCATTGCTTTGGTACTGTGCCTTTGGGTAAGGAAGGCACAAATTTTGGCTTTTTCATGCAGATTGACTCAGAATCAGAAAGGAATTCCTGAGAACGCAAAACAGACCCCTAAGACCATGAGCTCTTAATTCGTGTTCAACCAGACACTGCTCGTAATGATTCTCATGTTCCTTGTGCAGTCATTGCTGTTGTGGGAGGTAACTAACTTGTAAATTGATGTGTGCACGCGCACACACACACACACACATACGCTCTATCTGTATGTTTGGTTTGCACTTTTGCTTTTTCTTATCTTCATACAATGGTAGAGTTGTTGACTTTGGCAGGGACCTCTGGAAATTGTGTAGTCCAATCCCAGTACTCAGAGAAGGATTACCTAGAGCAGATTACTTGTGGCAGAGTATAATGAGTTTTGAATCTCTCTAAGGACAGAGATTCTATTACCTGTTTTTATGATCCACTCTAATCACAGAGGAGCAAAGTGAGCTCTCTGTGGATTGTGGATAGAATCCCAAAGGTTTGAATACTCCCCAAAACAAGATTAGAACCAAAAGAGGTTAAATGTTGATAACAAAAATTGATGTTTTATTTAATAGAAAAGAAGTAAAGAGAAAAAGAGGTGAGGGGTGGGAGGACAGGAAGAGTGACAGACACATGTTACATAGAAACATATCACTCCTCCATGGGTCTTTATTATCCTCTGGTCTTCTAGGTTGTGAGGGTTCCCCTCTGACAAAGAATAGAATCCAATGGATTAATAAACATTTGGGTCAGGTGGGAGTGCCCAGGTACCTACCCTGAGGGGGCAAGTTTGACCCTGTCCCTTGCAGGACTGTGTATCAGTTGCATGATTTTGCATCACATGCAGTGCTCTGGTGTGGGGTCTGGGGAGCCATTAAGGGAACATTTAATGGACCATGACACCCCCTGAGCAGCCCCTAACATGAATGTCCCATAGATGTGGCTTTTATGACTGATCCAGTTTGAGTAAAAAGATGGGTGTGTGTTGCCTCTGACCAGAGGTTTTTCACCATGCACCCAAAACCTCTTCCTCCTTTCTTTGGTGGGTGGGGCGGTACAAACCTGGTCTCAGTAGGCAAGACAGCTGCTGGGCTTCATCCTCCTGTGGAAGTATTCTTCTCCCCCAGCCCAGACCTAAAAATAGTATCATTTTTATCTTAAATTACCTTACAGTCTAGGGGCTCAGCCTAGGGAGCCCAGACAGGATGCAGTGGTCTTTGGTGCAGCTTTGTTGGTGCAGCTTTGTTGATGCAGCTTCACTACACAGTTTTAATGGACAAAAATCCTTTGTAAAAGATTTAAGCCATAAACTACAATATTTCAGTTTTTGACACTTGTCTGGATGCCTACTCCAGTGTTTAAGCCCCATTAGGTTAAGGAAGTTTTTCTTAATGTTTAAATGTCCAGTTGTATATTACCTTCTCACTGAACAACCAGGGAAAGACTAGCTCAGTGGTCTTCTGTCTCCTCTGGCATTTAATAAATACTGATTATGCTCCTCCTACTCCACACTGACTTTTCTCCCCGTAGTAGTAGTTTATCTCAGTAGAGTAGTCCTGTTTATCTCAGCCTGTGCTCAGATACCAGATGCTCCAAGCCCTTAACCATTTTTGCAGCCCTTTGCTGGTCTCACTTCAGTATGTTTGTGTCTGTATTGCGCCTGGAACATCTGAAACCATCACAGTATTCCAGATGTGTTTAGAAGTGCAGAGTAGAGGAAAAGGATCATGTCCCTCCACCTACAAGCTATGCTTTTCCTAAAGCGGATGTCATTGAAGGGATCTTCACTGCTTTGTTTCTTCAGGTCTCATTTTAAATGACTGGGAAACATTATATATAGTCTAGAAAATATTTCCTATTCTTTCTACATTTTGGATTTTTCCCTTTCCAAGCTCTATCAGCTTGAAATAGTATTGTGTTTTGTGAAGTTGCAGAGACAGTAAGAGAAAAGGTGTATTTGTTGGAGGGAAGAAATTTGCCCCAGCTGATTCTTGAAAGAGTCAGGAATATTTTGAAGCAGAGTAATTTTTACATATCAACATAAGTAGGTAATTGCTTTCCATTTAGTTTGTACCTTATCCTTGGGGTAATTAAACACCTGGCTAGTTAAGACATACTTTACCAGAAATATAAAATTAGTATTTCTGTGCTATTCTGGGCTTGGTTTTAAAGCACTCGAGTCTTAAGTTCAAATAATTACCTATTCTGGTTACATTTTGGGATTCTGTTAGCTTTGATTGTCTCTGAGGACAATGTACTCTTTCTTCTTCCTTTCCCCATTTTTTTAAATATTTGTCAGATTTTTTGGATCCACTTTCCAAATTTCTATGAAGTCTGCTAAACTTCATGTACATCAAGGGAGCATGTATTTTGTCTAGCATTGCTGGTCTTTTATTCACAAGATTTGGGGTTTTGTTGCTGTTTGGTGTAAGGCTTTTGTCAAAGTATTTTTCATCTGTTTTCCACCTGCCTTTATACAGTAGCATTTAGTAACAAAACGTGGTGAGTCTGAAAGTTATGGTTTATCTAAGAGGTTTTTTTCCTTTTTTCCTTCTTCTCTAGCACAAGGAATTTAGGACAGATGATTTTTTCTTCTTTGCCCTATGTCGCATTTTTAAGCTGTTGCAACTGAAATGTTTCTTCCACTTTCATTTTGAGGTAGGTTAAAGATGTAAAATATTTGAAGGTTTGCTACATTATTGTGTGCATGTCTGCAGCATATTTTTGCTTGCTGTTCTGTAGTTGATATAGTACTTTCCTTTGAACATTCATTTTGTCCTGTGTGCATACTGCTAATGTGACTGTGTAGTGCTCAATACAGCATTAATTTAATTACAGAAAAAAAAAATTACTGTTTACATAAGGATACTTTATAGGTAGTGATATTTTAGCACATATTTTGAGAATTGTCAGTTATTTAAGAAAATGTTTATATTGCCTACAACATGCTTTTCAGGAGTCCGTTGTGCTCAGTGGAACTGATGCAGCTTTGTGTTTTTCTCCTTCAGGACACTGTTTAATGTATCTCTCCTTTTCTTGTATTAATTTTTTTCTTGGGAATCAATATGATCAGCTGCTGTAGTTACTGATGTAAAGAATTTTAACATTAGTCCTTAGTAAAAATGTGTATTGTTCATGACTTCTTAGGGTGAAACATTATCCATCTGATCAAAAGATGACCTAGAGGTAAAATAATTTCAGTGCATTCTGTACTCCTTTCCTGTAGTTACAGTTTATTTATCAATAAACACTGTTGTAGTTACTATATTTTTCAGCTACCATGCTACTCTAATTTCTAAGTTGTGTTTAACAGCAGTTAATGGGGATTTTAAGAATTGAATGGAACAGACAAAATGGAAAAAACTTACTTTGGGTTAGAATCAAAATTTCTTAGAAACAGACTGTTAAGCTTCTTTAGTTTAGCCAAAGAAAGAGATAAGACTTGGCTGTGGTGTCTAATCATGTAAGTGAAACATAGAAAACATAACATAAAAAGGTGTAGCAATAATTAGTGACTGAAGCCTGAAGCCAGAAATAAAGTGCAAAGGACAGTGACTAGCCTTTCGGAAATCAGAGCAATTGATCGACTGTTTAGCTCTTAATAACTTGAATTTTGCCATGGATGCCTTTCTGTAAGAACTGCTGTAGTTAAAGATAAATTACTGGTCTTAGAGACTGGTAGCTGAGGGAAATAGAAGGCCTCTGTTTAAGAGGATGTAGTTGATTTTGAGGGACTGTCTGGCCTAAAACTGTGAACCTTCCAAGAAAAAATAGGGAATTTATAATGTTTTTTTTTTCCCCAAACTAGATTGCATCTCCCCGTGTCTTTCTCGTCTTGCTTTTATCTGTACCTTTGTGTTAGGCAGTACATGGGCTGATCCCTACTCAATCACATTCTGCACTTATAAAAATTAACATCAGTTTTTCTCCTTAGTAGGGATTCCTTCAACCTGGTAGGAAACACAGTGCTTTCAACAAAATGGACAAAGAATTTTGCAGTGTTGGTTTAGAATGACTCAAGTTTTTTTAGCCCATGTCTTTTAGTGGTTACTGCTAGGACAGAGTGTTTAGGCTGAAGGCTAAACCAGTCCTGTAGATGCATCTGTATAGCTCATTGAAGTAGTTCATCAAACAAGTAGAATTTGATTTCTTCAAGGATTTTGCTTTATCGCATGGAAAGTAAAAGTATGACTATGTATGGCAAAAGGATTGAAAATAAAAAGGGAGCACTTGGTCCACATTTTTTCCTTCAGGTTTTCAAATCAAAGGTGCAAATGAAATAGCCAGATAATTGTCATAATTATCATCTGCATTTGTGGACATCTGGAATCCATCATGCAGGAATACTAGGCCAGGAGGAATTGCATAAGCTTTAACAGAGTTAAGAGTGTGAAGTTGTGCTGTGACAATGATAATTCCCAAACAGCAAGCAGGCTGTGGTATAACTGGCAGAGATGTTGTGTGTAAAAGAAGCTGGGGGTGCTGCTGGATGGCAAACTGAACAATGTGCCCTTGTGTCAATGAAGTCAAATCGATTCTCTGGTATTGGTAGGAGATGTGCTAGGGTGCTGTGTCTGGTTTGTCCCCTGATTTCAAGAGAGATATTGATGAAAAATTGGAGAAGGTCAAGCAGGTAGCCACCAGGATGATTTGCATGTTAGAAGGATGATTAATGTGTTAGAGAACTCAACATTTGGAGAAAGTTCAAGAAAATTGTTTAGGTTGGAAAAGACATCTTCAAGTCCAGCTGTTAACCCAGCTCTCTCAAGTCCCGCCTGAAATGATGTTCCTAAGTGCCACATCCACACATCTTGTAAATCTCTCCAGGGATGGTGATTCTACCACTACCCCAGGCAGCCTGTTCCAGTGCTTGACAGCCTTTCCAGAGAAGAATTTTTTCTAATATCTGATCTAAACCTCCCTTTGTGCATCTTGAGACCATTTTCTCTTGTTATTTGTGAGTAATGCCCAACCCCGACATTGTTGTAGAGAGCAAGAAGGCCTTCCTGAGCCTTCTTTTCTCTAGGCTAAACATGCCCGGCTCCCTCAGGCAATGCTCATAATACTTGTGCTCCCAACCCTTCACCAGCTTCGCTGCCTTTGTGTGTACATGGTCCAGCACCTCACTGGAGAGACAGCTTGGAGAGGTTTCATCAGTCATCCAGTACATAGAAGATAGACAAGCTGTGAAAGTCAAGCTGTTTTCTGCTCAAAGGGATGAATAGTGAGAGCAGAAATTTCATCTCAGCGTAGGGAAAAGGAAATCTTGGAGTAAGTTTCTGAAAAGCATAGTGGAATCTCCCTCATTTTTAAGGCTCATCTTGGCAGCACCATAGCTTACTTAATCTAAAGCCGTGTTAAAACCTAGTGAAATAAGGTCCAAGAGAAGGTTGGAGACTAGATAATTTCCCAAGATCTTTTCCTGCCTGGACTACATGATGCTGCGGTCACAGCTTTTTCATCAGGCTTGGCTCTGGACAGAGATAGCAAGATTGTAGATCAGGCAGTAGCAAACTGTGTAAATAAGTGTGGTTACAATTACTGACAGGTACTTGATGGGATATTTTTTTATATAAATATTGTATTTTTAGTTTTTAAAGCTGGACCAGTAAAGAAAATAAAACTTGCATTGCTTTTTTATTTTTGTTCTTTTTAATGTTACGTGAAAGAAAAGATGTACTGATATGGAAGACAACTAAAAATGCAAGTTTGATGCAGTCAGAATTAAAATATCAAATTATTTAAATATTGAGCTGAAAGGAATAATGTATTTATATTATTCAAATTATATATAATATATGTATATATATTGTGTTGTATATATGATATAATATATTATATATATATATGTATATATACGATATGTATGTATATATGTGTTGTAGTGCTATATTATGACAATCTAGCAGAAGCAAATCTCAAGGCTGCAGGGTTTCACAGGGCTATTTGCTTTGCTTGCCAGGTAGTTGAAATTAAGCAGTACTTGGTTCAACTGGCCATATAGCACATGCTGCCTCTCAGGCAGGGGTTAGAGCAAAGACAGTTGAGGTACTATATTAGTAAAGCTTGCAGAAATCATAAACATTGAAGAAGCAAGTGTTGTACAGGAAGAAAAGCTGTGGGAAGAGGTGTATGGCAGATCTCTTGAGGCAGACTTTGCCACAAAGAAGAGGTATGTACGCTATGGGGATTTGGGTTTTTTAGTCTGATTCTGAAATAAGATAACTTGATGATGAACTGATGTCGTCAGTAGCCCTGCATGCTCTTTTCAGTTGTGTATGATTTGATTCTGCATAGTGTTCATCTGTTTTGTATATTTTTGTGTCGTCTGCAGTATTTGCATTAGATGCAATAGTCAGGTGAGGTGGTGATATATATTTGCATCTTCCAGAAGATGTTGGAGGAAACAGATGTGTTGTAGAAAACTGAATGTGCCTCTTACCTTTCTTTACCTCCTTCAGTGCAGCTCTCAGCACAGAGTCTGAAGCAGAATCACAAATACCTTGCTGTTTATAAAGATCTGGCTACAGACCTGGATGCGCTGCATTTCCATCTGATTTGCATGTGATCTTTTCAGGAGTGTTCAGTTCATGGCAGACAATCCTTCATAAAGTTGTGTTGTTACTGAAGAGCAAAGGAGGAGAGAGAAAAAAAGGAATTTTACAGTACTAGACATATAGGCCTATGTCTAGGGGTTTTTAGCAGCTTTTGGTGGTGGCCTGAGCAGAAACCTTTTCCCTAGAGTTTTCCAGTTTTTCTCTCTTTCTTCTCTGGCACTCTGGAAGATTACTTTGGTGTCTCTCGTAAGAGAAGACTCTATTAATAGTCTTCAAGTTTTTCTCTGTTCAGAGGCATATTTCTCTCCCAACTGACTCATGGGATTTCTTGAGAAAAGACGATAAAAAAAAATAAAAATTCTGGCTTTGTCCTGTAACTGCTTAGTATGTGCAGAGATGAGGCTATTGAGAGTCAGTCTTCTCCGCTCCATCTTTCAAGTCAAAATCCTATTAAAACCAGCAATACAAAGTACAAGCATCTAAATCTCATCCAAACACAGTTTTTTTATAAACTATCACAGGGCAATTTCAGCTACGTTATGAAGTAATGTTCTACCAAGTCCTCATAACTCCTTGTAATGTACACTGCCTGGAAAACCTTATTCTGTAAATAAGGAGCATAAACAAATAGGCACACAACTGTTTTCCAAATTGCTTTATTGTCTCTTTTTTTTTTTTTTTTTTTTTTTTTACTGTCCTTATCAGCTGAGATATAGGCCCATTAAATAATGGAAAGGAAATCACCCACTAATTATAGCGTTATTGCATATTACATGGACTTTTCCTGATGCTTCAATTGTGGGATGTTAGTTCTTCATAAACATTAATTCTTTGGAAATTCCCTCACATCTGCTGTTTGTGAAGGATTTCTTCCAACTTTTTAGAGGAAGGTGATGGTGAAGGCATCTTGAAATTAATGTCTTATCAGTGTCCATTCATTTCAGGTGCTGAGATTAGGAAAGCTAAAGAAGGTTCTTTTTATTTCTTAAAGCAGGAATCCAGGCTGAATTTCCTGCCCAGGAAATGAGAAATATACAAAGAGGTTATCTGCAAACATTTTATCTTTCAGGTGTTGGGTACAAGTCACCTGCATATTTCTTC